AATACGCAACACCTGCCAAGAGGGATACCACACACCTGGAATAAGGGATATCCCATGCCTGACGTTAGACGCATTTACATTTGACAAGAGGTATACCCTACACCTTACATAAGGAATACCCCATATCTGACATAAGGGATACCCCACGCTTGACATAAGAGATACCTAACAACTGACAAGAGGCATACCCTACATCCGATATAAGAGATACCCCACACCTGACATAAGGGATACCCAACACCTGACAAGAGGCATACACCACACCTGACAAGAGGGATACACCACACCTGACACGAGGGATACCCCATGCCTGGCGTAAGACACAATTTTCCACCTGACAAGAGGGATACCGTACACCCGAGTTAAGGGATACCCCACACCTGAAATAAGGGATACACCACACTTGACAAGAGGGATATCCCACAATTGACATAAGAGATACCCCACACCTGACATAAGGGATACCCTTCACCTGACATAAGGGATACGCCACACCTGCCAAGACGGATGACCTTCATCTGATATAACGGATACCCTACATCAGACATAAGGGATACCCAACACCTGTCAAGAGGGATACCCTACACCTGAAAGAGGGACACCCCACGCCTGACAAAAGGGATCTCACACATGACAAAGGGAATATCCCACACCTGACAATAGGGATACCCCACGCCTGAAATAAGCCACATCTATACCCGACATAAGGGATACCCCACGCCTGAAATAAGCCACATCTACACCCGACATAAGGGATACCCCACGTCTGAAATAAGCCACATCTACACCATACATGAGGGATACCCCAAGCCTGAAATAAGCCACATCTACACCTGACAAAAGGGATAGCCCACGCCTGAAATAAGCCACATCTACACCCGACATAAGGGATATCCCACGCCTGAAATAAGCCACATCTACACCTGACATAAGGGATAGCCCACGCCTGAAATAAGCCACATCTACACCTTACATAAGGGATACTCCACGCCTGAAATAAGCCACATTTACACCTGATATGAGGGATACCCAACGCCTGAAATAAGCCACATATACACCTGAAAAAAAGGGATGCCCCACACCTGACATAAAGGATACCCCACGCCTTACGTATGCAAAATCTACACCTGACAAATACAACTCTACAAATAATGCGATTCTGGAAAACTCCATAAACTTCAACTGAAGAGATTTACAGTAGTGAACGTGTTACCATTACGCTGCCGAAAAGATTTCCAAAATTGAAATAAACCATCCTGTAACGAGTTGGATGGAATAAGGAAGGGTGGGGTCTGATAAATTCCACTACATCACAGTTCATGCGTTACCAAGTATCATATGATAAAATTTCAAATACGGGGACTGGTACAGTGTAATACTAGACACGCCGTACGTAGCCTAGGTCGGCCGGCTGTATGAACTGTAGACAGGTGCGCATGCTCGTCCTTCCCTCAGGTGACCACTGTAATGGTCAAACTTTACCACAATTGTTTGGATACCATCAAAAGTGTTTACAGATGGGTTTACGTCGAATAATTGAACAAGTTTCATACAAATCCTATTTTCATAAGTGAAGTTGTAGCTCGCCCCCGGTCATGTGATAACTGTACGCAAGTGGCCTTATTTCTTAAACCTTTATAAAAATGGCATTGTATCCCGCGGTCTGAGAAGAAAGTTCCAAACATAATCGCCAATAAATTGTACGGACTATTGTAAAGAAAGTTCTTACACCTACGAACCATTTGTAGAGCGCTATAATGCTTACTAATTCGTTAAGTAAATTGTGGTTTCCGTGAAGTTCAGAAGAGAAACATGTCATTTGTTTGTCCATTTTGCGTTGTTTGCGTACACAGTGTGTCCCGTGTTTCCAAGGTATGGTGTGTCTACAAACTCCGCCTGCCCGTCCTATAGTATATGGTCCAATAGTAGTCCTGCAATATCCTGAGTGGTCGCGACCGGGTACCTCGGGTGTAGCAACCCTCTCTATGTATGGCGACCGGGAGACCACGGATGTTCAATAGACCCCGTGAATTCTACCAGTGCCATTAATAGAGAGGAAGTTCAAGCCTTGTGCGTCCAGTCCGGTCACTGCCAAAATAAATAGAAAAGGCGTTAAGTACACACCAATATAAGAGCGGAATCGACCAACCCTGACATTCTATGGCGTAAGAATAATACCGGGACGGGGAGATTAATACCGAACCAAACAGGTTTGAGAAACGTAGCGGGATCTCGGGGAACAATAGCGCCTTAACGAATTCCAAAATGGATCTAAACATATATTGAAAAGAAATTAGTGAGACGAATCAATGTCACGGGTGTTTGTCATGAAAGTCCCAATGTACAGATCCAAACAAGTTTGTCATTACGCCATATCAGCGCCCATTGTTTCCCAGCCAATCACAGTCCGCCCCATGGCCGCTGTCCACATGTTTGCTAGCCATTACAAAATCATGCTAAAAAGGTTCAAATAATCACTTTATCGACATAATTAGTCCTATTGTTAAGATACTTATATATCGATGACACCACACTGACCCTTGTATTATTAGTCCCTGAAGAATAGCTACTTAGAGTGGATTGTATTGTCTCACTACATGGGAACCAGAAACAACAATCTGAAGTTTTAAGCAATAAAACCCCTCTATATTTCCCAATGGAAGTTTGCTATTCTCTTTTCATTTTCAGAACGATGCAGCAGGAAAAAGTTGTTACCTACTAATTTATTTGATCGGTAGTAAAAAATAAATAAATAAATCCCCATTTGTAACACATAATGCAATGCACGAGGGCATCTAATTCTTTTCATCTCAAACTTTGCACAATTTTCTACAATGGCCGACGCAAAGTCATTACTGACATTTAGAATGCAAATTCCTACTGAATACTCCTATTTAGAATCCCTACCGAATATTTCCCTGTGCCGATGAGCAAGCAAGCTAGTAGTAGTCGTGGAAAGCTGAGATCAGTCAAGTCGTTTAAAACTCAAAACAACAATGACATTAAACTAAATAATTTGGTATAGCGGTTCCTATAACATTAAAAACGGTACCTTAACGTTAAATAGTTTAATTACCGCTGTTTATTATTTGCCCTTCAGATATTTCCAGAAAATGACATCCGTTTCCAAAATAGTAACATAAGCTATACGACACAGTTTTAGCAATAGTTTAAACATACCGATGTAATCAAGATATATATACAAATGTCTTTCCCCGAGGTTACCGGTACGATCAGATCGTACAGGTACGTCCGTGTAGATACATAGGTGGCCCAAGGTCATAGAGACAGATTGGGTCGAGTGTGACCCACACACATATACATTGGTATGTCAAGGACAGCCGGGAGGGCGACGTGCTCTTCTCAATTCATGAATACTTTTAAAATTACACATGTGTCAGAACACTGATAAAATCACAAAGCCGGAAGTCAGTCAGAAATCGGAAAATCTCTTAGAGTTATACTTTTAAATCATTTCCGGTTACAACTTACATGTGTCCTCTTTTTCCAACTTGCATCGTAGTTTTTTATCTATATTTATAGTCAACATTACCATAAAACCTTTAATTGTAGGCGACTTTGATTTACTAAGCTAGAAAATATAACTCAATACAGCTATGAATTGTAGCACCTATAGTCTTAACAGTTATATCTACTGATTACGATTATAAAGGTGTTAGTGACACGTAGGAATATCGGTCACTCACTCGGTCATTTCGATATTTGTCACAAGTGTTGACACATATAAGGGTGTTCAAAATCTACTACGAGTGTGAACAACTTCCAATAATACGTATGTCTTTCCTCGACATTGACATTTAATGTCTGAATGACATTTAAATATAAATATGATTATTTGTTTTAGAAGTAAGGACTTTCCCGATATAAAAGAGTTTAGAACAATTTTGTAGACAATAAACAACAAATTGAACCTATTACACGTCAAACGTTCGAAAAAGCATGGTATGAGTTAGCGTCTCGTTCTCGACAACTCACTATTATCAAACGAGAAACAAACCCTCATTTACCACTGTTCTGTAAAGCCGAAATGATCTTGATTCAGAGAGGAGAAAATGTCTGAAAATGGTATGCAACGAAATATTTTTAATTGTAGTATTGAAGAAAACTTGATATAAATAAATGATGTCTTAGTGTAAATGTTTAGTGCTACCGTACATACGCTGAGGGGAGTGGGGGAAGTAAGAGGAGGGATTAATTTCGTCACTCACAAACATGATTTGGGTGTTTCCACACCAAACCTGTCTATTCATGCGTCAGTGAGGTGGTAGCGCGGCTCGGGGGGATTATCGCTACCAAATACCCGCGTAAATATATACTGTAAGAGGATTAGCACCAATTACATAGGCGTCCCCCCGACAGGTAATACACAGCCTAAACTACATGTGTAAAACACGTATAAAATATTGATAGACCGAAATAACTCATGAAAATAACATGATAAACGTTGACTGTAGAATTAAAGTACATTAATGTAAACATAGTTATGTGACGTTTTACTTGGAAAAAATATCAATATAGATAAATCCATGTCAAAGGAATACCACCTTCAACATGTCGATGTCAAAACCCGTTCTCGCTTCAAAATACATCATTTTGGAAAGAACAATTTATGTACACCCCTATCCCCAGTGTAGAAAGTTTCCATGAACTTGTAAAATATTTTGTACTGCGTAATTTGTAAAAAAAATATATATATATTTACAGATGTTATCATACTAAAAACAGATCGTTGACATTTAAAAGAAAAGGTGAATTTCTTAAAAATAAAACAAAAGGTGGTGTTTAGAATCGCACTTTTCGTCCATGTCCAATTTGATAGATCGATCACCCTTGCAAAATTTGAATGCGGCCATTTTACCCCAGTGATATTCCATTTGTTGGTCTCCGTTAAACGCTGACGTCAAAGGTGATACACACAGCTATAGTAACAGGTATATACATAAAATCTATCTCGTAAAAGTAAATTATAAATTGCCTACCTTGATCTCTTCGTTCCTCCTCGCCATGTGTCGGTGGGACATTCTCCACCCGTCTTACCCTGGCCTCGCACGCACTGTGCGGGGTTTCCGACGAAGAAGCGAGGCCCATTATGTAACTGCGAGAAGCAGTGATGCTAATAGCCAGGTCTACTCAATACATTTCAATGGAACGTATTTCTATGCGCATTCATTCGTACATTTAGCCTGAGGTCGCATTTAATATTGACCAATCATAGTCCTTGTTGTTCGCGCTATTTAGGGCCAAGGACAGTGGATATTATGTCCGAAAAATGTATACGTGTAAAATCAATTTAAGTATCCAAATAGTGGTAGATCTACCCCGACAAGACTGACCACCGCCGGGCGGCGACCGACCGACCATGTGGTCAGCCTGTTTGGACAGGAGGACATGGGCAACTGACCACTGCCATAGCTTAGTCAGTTGCCTCTGGTCAGAACTGACCATTACTGTACAACTGACTGTAAGGTTTATATATATTATTCACGCGACACCAAACTGACCGGTGGAAATGTATTACAAGTACGGTCAACTTTCTACCATGATTTGATTTTAATCAGATATACCGTATCTACAAAGTTACCAAAGTCCCTTAATTTATCCAACAGTGAACATGTCAAAATCTTCCCTTTTTTTAGGAAGAAAATATTAATGGGTTGCAAATCTATGCTAATTTATATCGTAAGTATTTATACGATTAAATCTATGCCATATGAAGCTAACCAGACTTTAGCTTCACGACTTGTTTGACCGTACAACATGCTGTCCGTCAGGTATCGATCTCACTCCCTATTAGCCGAAAAATAACACATGTCCGAATCGTTATAATTACTGATGTAGTTTGTTCGTAATAATAAGGCCAGCCAGTCGATCACGAGGTAGACTCCATTGTAGATTCGCAGTTTGTTCATAAGGTAGATTTCCTGCTCGATACGGTGTATGTAACTTCATCATATTGGCATTTGTACATTTAAAAAAAACACTAGCAGATTATGTAAATATCAGTTTAATATGGAAACGTTTCAGGTTGATATATGTATTTTTTTTAAATAAAGAATCTACATTGTATCAATTTGTTTTTGAACCAATATTTTACATATTAATACATGTTAAGGGTACGTGAATAAAAATCAAGATATTTGAGAGAAATAATAATAATAAAAATAGTATTGAAGTTGTTTTAATAAAAGGTCTTTAATTACCAAAAGCATCTATACGTAGATTCAATGTGAATTTTTCACCGATATTTCATTATTGATAGAAGATGTAGATTTTTAATCTTTTTTTTTTTAAATAAATACTACGATGAATAAACATCAACATAGATGAACAAAATATTAAAATCTTACAGAATTGCTGTAATTAAAAGAAGCATTTGTATAGTTCCGCTTTTATTTGTATTAATATTTTACTATGACAGACGAAGTATATAGATTTTAAGCTTTGTCTAATACACGTGATTAAAATTGTAGAAACATATCGACCGAAAGTACTTTTTATTTCCTGTATATCAAAGAGGATATTCAACGAGAGACAAATTATTTCATTGTGATGTTTATCCTAAAAACATATTGTGACGTCACATATCGTATGAAATTGTTTCATGTTTTGAAATTATCTAAAAAATAACTGTTTGATAGTGATGAATTGACAGTGTGTGGTGTCTACCCTGCATTCATAGCTCGTATGTCATTATGTGTCGTGGTAATATTAAAATCAGAATCATGAAAAATATAAAAAAAATCTGCCGCAATATTAAATAAAGAACCATGATAATATATAAAAACCTGCCGTTATATTAAAATAAGGACCATGCTGATATATAAAAACCTACCGTTATATTAAAATCAGAATCATGAAAAATATAAAAAAAAATCTGCCGCAATATTAAATAAAGAACCATGATAATATATAAAAACCTACCGTTATATTAAAATAAGGACCATGCTGATATATAAAAACCTACCGTTATATTAAAATAAGAACCGTGATCGAATATATCAAAATCTACGGTAATATTAAATTAAGAACCATGATAATATATATAAAAACCTACCGTTATATTAAAATAAGGACCATGATGATATATAAAATCTACCGTTAAATTAAAATAAGAATCAGGGGAAATATAAAAACCTACCGCAATATTAGAATAAGAACCATGATGATATAAAAAAAATCTATCGCAATATTAAAATAAGAACCATGATCATATATATAAAAATCTACCGCAATATTAAAATAAGAACCATGATACTCATATTGATTACGTTGCACATTTGAATGGTGTGATAGCTATTAGGAAGAATAACACACACATTTGAGGTTATATAGCCATTAGAAAAGAAAAAGAAAAAAATATATATATATATGTATAAAAATGAAAAATTGAAAGAGGACCGGTCCGGAACCTAATCGACCTCAATTACTTGATGTAAAAAGGCTGATCAGGTTCCGTATCAGACCTTTTGTTGATTAAGTATATTTCCATCTTAATGGCTAAACTTAAATGCCTGTGGAAAGACAGGTATGGTATCTGTTGTTATTTGTCGTATCAAGTACTTTTACACAGCACGAGGAACGGTATCTGTTGTTATTTGTCGTATCAAGTACTTTTACACAGCACGAGGAACAACTGGTAGTAGTTATTAGTCAGGCGTCTGTGACAGAGGTGTAAAACGATGTGTAAAGACAAGCTAGGACACATGTCGGACCGTGTCCAGCCGTGTCAGCCCTGACCCGAGGTACCGGTCCCGTGGGTATAGTGTTAGTACATGCCACGTAACGCTGCCCGGGGGGTACTAACTTCCTTGTTATCGACCATCTATACTCTACTAACAATAAAGTTACCAAAATGTCATTTTCTATTAAATTGTATTACCTGTGTCTGATAACATCGGAATGTGATAGAATCGCCAGTATGCACCTCCCTCTTTCATTTGATATAGTGTATACGGAGTATAAGCCCTTTAGGTCGGCACATTTGAAAGTGAACAACTAATATTGGTAATTGACAGGGTGGCGATCGTGTTTACTGATTTAAAATTTGTTTCATTGAAATCAATTCATTTCACGACATTTCATGCAAAGGGTTGGGTTTTCTTTACGTTTATTTATTGAAACCCCTATAATTTTTATACCGTTCAAACAATACGAATATTATATACGTTAATACAATATGTGTATTGCCTTGTTGTACGGAAATATTATTTCTTTGATTCCCTGAGATTAATCGGAAAAACTATTACTCTCGGGGGAAACAAAGAGGCATGTTTCCCTATCATAAGGGCGATACACAAATATATGACATCGAATCAAAACAATAGCACAATAGTCAAGATGATCTGGTTGACGTGCTCAGATGAACGGTCTCTTGCAGATTTGTCCAGAAAGGCTCCGAATAAGAGGAAGCGAAACGATGTTTTAAATCCTCGTCATGCGATAATTAGCCCAGTGAGTTTTTGTTGTCCATCATTCACGTGTCCCTACCACAGGTGCTTGCATGGATGAAACAGTAATTTAAGTGATTATAGTATGGCACGTCAAGTCAAGTACATTTTATTTAAAAGTCGGTGCATGGTTAAACAAGTGAGCACAAGCCTATGGAGGGTTTTTACAACCGACCATATAACAAATAAAAACGGAGGTAGCATGATATAAAACATAACAAGCATGCAAATCTATGACACTGTTAAAACACACGCATTGTTAAACATAGAAAAGATAGGTAGTGTGATTCCAAAATGAAAACGTCATGAAAACGTCGTGTTTACTTCTTTGTTAGCCAAAATATTGTCATCACACGTGACGTCATACTATGAACAAACATAAAAACCATATCATATTACGACAGGAGCCTGTGTTCCCTACAGAAGTTATCATGTTTTTTCCAATGCCTCCGCTAGGGGTCGACGCTGGCACCACTGCCTTTCTACCGAATGAGCTACAGAAAATCATCCCTTGGTGAATCGGAAGATTACCGTAAGGTATAATAATAACTTATCTTCTGCTGGGTAATCGAATTACTTGTTAGTGAAGCGGACGTAAACCCACTCAAAATAAAACAAACGCACAATAACTTTTAGCATTGAAATAGAGAAGGGACCCATAAGCTTGTCAGTACTTCGAATTCATGTTAGCCTTGTAATAATTTAGGGACCCTTGTCAGTACTTAATGTTTACCTATTAGCTTTGCTTTAAGGTATATATATCAGACACTGCGAACAAAATAACCTTTTCCATGAGATTTTAAGTAATAGTACTTCTGTACATTATAGATATGAGTTATTTTATAGACTGAAAAATACCTCATTTCTGGAAACATATATATAGTTTCAACGTCCCTCATGCTATAGCAACAACGCGTCGAGTACTATCCATATATGTTGCACTCATTTTTTATATCATTATATATATAGCATATTTAACATCTTTTAGGTTACTTTTATAAAGAACTCGCTAAAATCATCAAAAAAATCATACAAATTTATGCTTAAAACCATAACTTAAGGAAGATGTTATGAAGTAGGTCTGAGTGAGGTTTGTAATTTCTACTACTACTTATATAACACGCTGTCTAGCCGTGCCGCGAAAGGATTATTCTAAACAATTCATTTATGTACTGTATCATTGCGTAAACGTACGTCGGCTGGTTTGTGCCATTTCGTCATTTCGCCTCGAATTGACGAGGATTAACAAGCGCAAGTCTTTTTGGAACGAAAGGATAAGGATTAACTAACTGTCTATCTGTTGTTGTTCCATCGAATTAAAAATGACCTAATCCCGTCTGCAAGAGTCCTAACATTACGGAGGGAGAGTGGTGAATTACGGTTTAAGCTGTAAATAAACAAATTCCCTGATAAACTGAACGAAATCGAAAGTTGAACTTGAACAGCCGCTTAACTGAAGAATGTACTAAATAGTTTTCATTGAATTGATTTGATGTATTTTTTTCTGCTTTCTAGTGTATTTCGTCTTCGGACATTCCTTCTTTGAAGTATTTCTCATACTTTTGATTCCATTCTATGTCGTTAGCAGACCTTTACTTATCTATCATGGTATTCAAATCTACATTGGCTTTTCATTTCTGC